TGTCCATGCAATGCAAAACACCCTCCCCAACACAGCAGCATCACGGCATCACCTGTCGGTCCGATGTAAATATTAATCTCCAAGATCCTCAAGCCTAGACTTGTCGCCTCGAAGCCCCTGTTGACAGGCGGTTGCGTAAAAATCGGAGCTGCGAACAGCTGCGAATCGCAACGGGAAGAACAGTGGAAGGCCGCAGCGAGGGCAGCAAGTACTCAAATAAGGGTGGTCAACTGCCGAGCCTACGTCAAGGGCTGAGGCTCCAAGATTCCGACTTTGACAAACGCCCCGATCCAAACCCACAACCCGACAAAAACGCTGCAATGTTCCTGCATTTAGCTTGCGAACAAAGGACTCACAAAGGATGATTATTACGGCCAATAAGGTCATTCAATGCCTTACAGGCGCTGTTGCACCTGTGTCGCAGCCGGCTTCATGCAAACATACAACTTACTGGCAGGTAGTTGAAGGCCGAACACTACGTCCACAAACACACTGTGACTTTCCACGGCATGTAAAGCAGTCAGGTAATCCGAAAATCAAGCTGCAAGAATGTAACGTCTTGTCCACATGGGGTACGTATACTACCGATGTCGGATTCTGGCTTGCAGTACAATTACTATCCTGCGCAAATACATCAATTGCAGCAGACTCGATCCTTTAGTCGGTCAGTGAGCTTCGGAATGCGGGACCATCGGGCCGGGGACTCATGATCTGAGTGCCCCTCCTCCATGGTCACAGGATCAGTGTTGAAGTAATTGCAGTATACCGTAGCTCTTTAGCTATTTCACACACGGAGAATGTCGCTAATTGAAACTTCCGTATGAAAACTACAGAATTTTGAGATGTGGGTTAATTCTAGGCTGTGCTTGATGCCCTGACCTCCTGAACGCCGACCTCCTTAACTGCACAGCCCCAATCCAAAATTCAGGCCGACAGCAAATTTAAAGCACGTGCGGGGCTGGACAGGGCAGACGCGAACAAGATCATCATAGAAGCAATTAACGGACAGTGGCAAACCCTCTTATTTTGGACATAATGCGCGCTTTCTTTGGAGTTCAGAACAGTGCACGAGGTTCAGGGGGTCTGGTGTGGACTATCGTTCCACACAGTCGGCAAGACTGCATAGCAAGTGAAAGAATTTCAAGGGGTGTGCAGTGAGTGTCCTCGCTGGCCGAACTGCGGATCAAGGGGAAGACGCGCACTCCGGTGTCCAGCACGGGATAGGCACCAGTAAGTCCTGAACAACAAGATACGGCAATGCTCTGGCTCTGAACACCACGAATGGCCCAAACCCAGCTGCACACGTCTCAGCTAGCTCCCCCGCGCACTTGGCCAATGCAGCTGACTTGCAGGTTTTGTGACAGAGTGCCTTCACAAATCTGCTAAATTCACACACTTCAATCGTCCTGGAGCGAGTGGAGACCAACTTCAAAGATTGACAACACCGGCCTGTTGCGACTACTTGCGCGGCGGCGGCTGCCTGAGAAGCAACGCGTCCAGAACTGGGCAAGGTTTTTGGGGCAAGGCTAAATTCAATGTCAAGAACCACTCCACCCAACGTGGGGATTGAGGAAGCCCGATATTTTCCGCTACGAGTTCATAGCAAACAGTTTTTAAGGGTGTGGACGTTCGAAGTGCTAGCCGAGGAAGCCCCTGTGTCGTGTCAAGTAGAGCATGGCCATGTTTGGAAGTTGTTGCTTGGTCGTCTGGTCATGGGTGCATATCTCATGTCCCGGAACGGGAACACATGTTTGGAAGACTTGGATGCTCTTGCGCCGATCCGTTGCTGTCTGGCACTGAGTGGGAGGCGCGGCAGCACCCCCACAATCAGGATAGACCTCAAGTATGCAGGGGGCTCGGGGTTCAGTGTCGGTCCAAGAAACTCCTACTTCCTACTTACTAACTTACTACCACAACTACTAAGAATTCTTGTAACCAATTACCCATTAGCTACTGACCCATTAGCTACCAGTGTGTAAGTACTCAGCACTGACTACCAACTACCAAATGCCAAGTACTAACTACTGTCGACTCCGACCACTACCACTATGACTATCACTACTCGTCGGACGACGAGTCTTGCTCCTCATGCTCATCACCTCCATCATGGCTGAACCAGGAATAATTCCCATAAGAAAGAATAACCGGCAATCCGTCTACCAATCTCGGAACATAGAATGGGCGTTTGTCGTACCTGGTCTGGCCAGTATTTCCATAAGATTGATTCAAGTCTTGACCCTCTCCCTGGCCTCAACCTTAAGATTCAGCAGAGCCCATACTCTGCTACGATACTTTTCGTGCGTTTCCTGAGCCTTTTTTCCCTGACCTGAACCCCGCATTGTCCTGATCCATTTTTTTTCAGCTGATGCGTCTTCCTACTCCAGACCAGACGGCACCGGATTGCCATTTCCCCTCTCCTGCTAAGCTTTTGCAAGCTCATGTGATAGAATGACCAAACACATTAATCTGGTTGGACGCATCAACTCATGAGCCTACTTTTGTACGTGAGAGTACTTTGGCGCCATGGCCCCTTCTTTGCTGTTGCAATTCTTTCAATTATGAACGTGGCCGTGGTGGAGGCTGAAGGGACCCTCCTCTGCACGACGACTGGAATCTGGTATCTTCTGAGAGGCTGGCGATCAGACCCGAAGGGGTCCTCGAGGCTGTCACCGAGGGTACGGGACGGAGAGGCGGAAGGAATCTCTGAAGGTTTCACCGGCGGCTGTGCTGTCGCTGTGGCTGAGTTGAGTTCATCTTCAGTGTATCAGTTAAACTTGAGGAGTGCGTGTGCGCTTTGGACCCGATGGATTCGGTTCCTCTGCATGGGCGGAGCCCAAACATTTCACACATACGTAAAGGCCGTAAAGGCCACTATCCAAACCCACAAGCCAACCTCAGGCTCGAAGCTGCAGTTGAAATCCGCAATCGCCTTCTTTGCAAACCAAGTCTTCAACTATACAAAACACGAAGGACGCTGCCTCGCCTCATGCCAGGTGGCAGCGTTGCAAAGGAGCGCTCCTCGCAAGCTGCGACCTTGGCTTGCAGAGTCTGCAAATCCTTTTGGAGCCTTGCTGACAGGAGCAGAAGATACAGTGAACACAACATCGTCTCATCTTTTCTGAAAGGCTCCCACTCTGCCGGCCAACATCCCGCCTATCTTTTGCACACGTGCAGCATCTCTAATGCTTCGAGTTCCGCTTGTGAAACTTCCACTTTCGTGCGTGTGCTACGTCATACAAGCTGTTTGTGTTTTGTCCGGAGGCTAGGTGTAGGGCCTAGGGCGTGTCGGATGCTCGGGCCCCCTGCGTTTGTGGGCATGAAAACTGCTTCCGCCGGCACGACCTCAGGGTGCACTTCTTGCATAAGGCCTTAGGCTTCGACTCCAAGAGCACACACTGGGGCTGCGTTTGGGTTTCGCCTCATGCAAGCTTTGGAAAAAGGCTCGCTGTCCCTGCATTGGGGCCCCTGGGGTTAAGGCATCCGGTACCCCCTATCCTTGATACAATCATATATAGAAAACCGGCTTCGAAAACTCCCGTAACAGATTTTGGGATCGAACCTGAGCATTACCAATGAACTCCCTCGTTGTTTCACTGGGATCTGAGTGAGACTGAAGCCCGATCTGTGTCGTTTAGTTGGTGGCAACACCCCACAGCACAAACTAATTCCAGCTAGACAAACCGACTTTCAAAAAGGGCTCTTCAGAACCTTGCCGGCCAACCAAAGCAACTGGACTCCGTGCTTTTTGGCTCCGCCTGCCTCCGATTGGAACCGAGTCTCATCTATTAAAAGAACCCACCAAATTCCTATGCCCCGAAGCTCGTACTCTCAACATCTAGTCCTAATCAAACAGCCAGCAAATTGAAGCTCCCAGCTGGTGCCGGTGGCGGAGGCGGAGAAGCGGTCCGCTGGGGACCTTCCTGTATGACCTGTGCCGATGGTCTTGGACGTGGGGCATTTGCATGGGCACGAAAAATGCAGAAAAGACCTCCCTAAATAAGAGCGCGCGCCGAACAGCCGTGGTCTATTGTGTGTTTGGAATCCCTGTGCCAACGAGATCCAACCTGTGGAGCACGGCAGCAGATGTCCAAACATTTTATGTAATTCGAAGGATGCAGCCCCACTTCCAAAATATCGCAAAAACCTCAAGAACATCTCAGTAACAATTGTTTGTGTGTGTGTGTGTGTGTCTGTCAGTGTGTGTCAGTGTGTGTCAGTGTGTGTCAGTGTGTGTCAGTGTGTGTCAGTGTGTGTCAGTGTGTGTGTGTGTTGTGGTTGTTCTGCGTCTGTTGTTAGGTTTGCTTCTTTTGCTCCTTATGCTTCGTTTGCTTCCTGTCTGCGTTTGTCTGCTTGTTTTTTTGGTTTGTGCGTTTGCTTGCTTTTGTTTTTTGTTTGTTGTCCGTTTGGAGCTGGGATGAGGGGGTCCGCACTGGTGATCACTACTTTGCAGATTCACGAGACGTCGCAGCAGTCCCACCACTTAGAGACATCAACAAGCCACTGCTGGACATCTTGCAGTCCCATCTTTGACTCTTAACAAGGAATCAGGCTTTGGGATACAAACCACTGCCATTAGATGGTGCTTAGGTCGAAACAAGGCGTAGGACTCCGAATTTTCCGCAAGGCTCTGCGAACCTGAGTTTGATTTAAATGTCCTTCTCAATTGTTTTCGATGTGTAGACCTGCCTGGCACACGTGGCGTTCGTGCACATATTTACCCAAGCCGTGAGCCCCGGGTTGAGAAAGCATCAAACATCCAGACTCCAGACCACTAAACCTGCATCCACGCTTCATAAACCCTCTTGTTGCACCAAACCTTTTTACGTCGTTGAACTGGAACTGGGCACCGCAAAAACCAAGCAAACACGGAGAATCGCTCTTGCGGAAACCTGAACCCAAAACATGAATTTCCTAAGCCGAATACTGTAATTCGTTTGATTTAGTCTGAGTGCTGCGCAGAGCACAGGAATTACAGAATCCAAGTGAAAACCCCCTCCTAATCACAGGCAGCACAACGCCTCGAGAGGAGGCCAATTGAAGCTGCGTTGCATAGATGCGGCTTTCACGCCATCCTCGACCTCGCAGCATCCGAAAAGTCGAAAGCTTTCAGATAAGTGTGGAGGCGCTGTCTTCAAAGCCACCCGCCGCTCTTCAAACCGTCACACCGACGACAATCGAGAAAATCAACAATCGCTTGCTGTCCTGCACTGGGGAGCACATGACTTACAGCTAGCCTGCTTGACCCGCTGCCAGGTTTGGAGGTCGCTGTCGTCCTCAACACTGACTTGCGCAACGCCACTTGTACGGCACTGTTTTGGGAGCTCACCCACCCCCCTTCTCTTCTCCTCAGCTTGAATCCAGAGAGCTTGAAACCTGACTTCAGCCTGCGATCTATGACGTGAGTAGGGCCTCAGTGGGAGAAGTCCGAGGGATCAACATATCTTCCACAATCCGTGAGCTCAGGGATTCAGTGGGCACGTCCATGCTGCTCGTAGAACAGATTACCCATAGTGATTCCTACAGTCCTTCTGTGCCCATTTCTGTGGCCACCGGCGGACAAGATATAATTACAGGATTTCTGCGGGCATGTCATCTTGTCCGATCTTAAGATACACTCTGGATGAGCATCCTCGAACATTACCCCTAGTTCTTCTCTAAGGTTGCAGTCGCGGGCTGCACTCAGCTCTTGCCTCTATGACAACAACAGCCCATGACTGCGTCTGCCGAGGGCTAGTGCTCGGCGAATGCCAATCTGTGGTGCAACTTGACAGCTTTACAGAACAAACTGGGCGCCTTCAGGTTCTCCGGTACAGTCCCCGGCTTGATAGCCACTGCTGGCTGCTCGAAGCCAAGACTGACAAGTGCCAGGATACGCTGAAGGGATCACACTAGGTTTTCATGATATTTTGACGAAGCCCAGCTAATCAGAGCAGGGCCCACTTCCAGTCTCTAAAGATGTCTTGCAGTCGTAGGTTTCGGGTTCAACAAGCTTCTTTGATTGAGTCATGTGGGCTTAAGCAGAGCCATGTCATGTCTGGCCGAAGGCAAAGTTATTGTAGCAATGACCAGTGGCTGTGAGCACGCGACAGCGAACGACTCGTTCAGTTCACGGTGTGTGTGATCTTGACAGGCTATCATGGGAGCGACACGAGCCCAGCTTGGGAATGAGTGAATCACCAGTATACTACATCAGTCCATTTCAGACAAGTACTATATGTGGCGAGTGAGGATCGAACTCGCTGTGAGTCTCGAACTTGGGTGCCCCTTGCAGGAATCTGGCTTTGATCTGCAGCAGGGTGCCGATGCCTCGACAATTTCGACGCAGCACAGGCTCTCCAACAACCCAAAGCACGGCAGCCTGTCCATGACCGCCTTCTTCCTTTCTTCCACCTTTGCCGGCTGTATCAACGATGTTTCGACGGTCCCAAAGTCAAAGTCTGTAAGTGGATGTGTCTTGTTCAGAGCTCCTACGACCAAGCTGGCTGGCAGCACGCTTGCATGAAGAGTCAAAAGCATGAAGTCCGCTCTGAGCAAAAGGAGTGACACCAAGCACTCCTCAAATGCAGTCTCCTTTCACGAGGAATGTCCGCACAGGCTCGGCTGATCAATCCTAAGCCCCTCAGGACATTCGAACTGGTCGCACCTTCCTCGTGACTCCACGCCAGGCATGCTGCCACGGTTTCAGCTGCTTGGTGGTGGCATTGACCTTTCCGAAGATAGCTGGTGCATGCTCTCTCTGTTCACTTACCTTCTGACACTGATGCATCCTGCTCAGCTGCAACAAATGCTGTTACCACAAACCGAGCCCTCAAGACCCAGCCATGTTCCGAAGATGAACAGACTGCAATGACTGCATTGGCATGATCCAAGCTTGTTTTTGTTCGTACGACACGAAGGAAGAAACCCACCGCAAGTCTGCAGATTCAACATCGTCTGGTTCGGAACCTTATCCCAATGCTTAGACCAAAAAGGACGGCCCTGCAGCGCTCACTCTGCGGCCCTGGCCTCCCAGTAGTTCTTGGTGGGCCCCGAGACGCCCCTGTCAAGCTTTACACTCAAACTGGAGTCAAAAAGCCTACTGATCCATTTAAAACGAACCCTAGACTGGAGATCGTCCGGAAACGATCACTCTGCCTGATAAAGACGTCACCCCAAAACAGCGAACATCATGATAGCAACTAGACACCATCAAGGCTAACATCCTAGAACCGGGTGCCGTGTTACGCCCATATTGACGGTACTCTGTCGAATAGTGATGATGTTGGTGGTGTTGGTGCCGTTGTGTTATTGGTGTATTTAGTGTTGTTGGTGTTGTTGGTCGTGTCGGTGGTGTTGGTGGCGTTGGTGGTCTTGGTGGTGTTGCAGTGGTAGTTGTGGTGGTGGTGGTGGTGGTGGTGGTGGTGGTGGTGGCGATGGTGGTGGCGGCGGCGGTGGCGGTGGCAGTGGCGGTTCTGGTGGCGGTGGCGGCGGCGGCAGTCCTGGTTTTCGAAAACCACGCTGACCCTTCATCCCCGGAATCCGAGCTCCTAGTCCACCACTGCTTCTGCGAGTGCGGGGTGCCATCCTGGACCTGCAGCTCATTGGTCTCAAACTTTATGTGCGGGCATAACATATGCTTGGCGCATGGATAAACGCTGTTGACATGATTGCATGGTGTCTGTGAAATGGTTGCATCATAACTGCTACAATGACTGGGGTTATGTACGGATGCGCGTGAGATATGTTCACTGCGGGTAGGTTGGCTTGCGGGGCCTCCTAAAACGCCCTAGGTCTCGCAAAGGCCGCTTCAAAATGTTAAAACAGAAATACAAATTCACCAGAAAACCTAGAAAGCAAAATTTATGAAAAGAACATCCAAATTACATCCAATCAGCAACTTGCTCTTGGCATGAAAGCTAAGGAGAGTGCCCAACTAAAACCCTTAATCTCGAAAGAGAACAAAAGGAGCGTGTCCAACTAGCACCCTAGTGTAGACAAGAAAGCGAAAGGAACGCGCTGACTGGCACCCTGGTTTTGGCAATTGCCATTTGATTCCTCGGTCACTCTCTCTGCCCCCTTCCCGTTGCTATTTGGTTGCTCGGCTTCCACGGTTACTCTCTCTACCCTTCTCCCGGTCGCCGTTATTTGGTTCAGCTTTGGGCCACCCTCCAGAGTTCCCGAATGACCGCCCCGATGACCACACGCCCACTTTCAGACCACAAACCCACAAAGTTGGCACCCCAGACTTGTGCACCAACACCTTCCCGTGCCAGAAACTTGTGCTACCGCCCACTTGTGACACCCACTTGTGCCACCATCACCCCGCCAGCACTCACTCAAGCCAAAAGGCCTCCGGAGGCCCAAAGGACATCCAACCCAATAAGATCACTGTGGGTGTCGAGATCCTGCTTGCATTGCTGTGCATCATGTTGGTATGCTGCTGTAAACTCTTGCTGCTGGTTCAAAACATGTGAACTGGTAGTCTTTCTGCTGTCGCTGTTTGCCGTTGCTGCTGCTGCTGCTGCTGCTGCTGCTGCTGCTGGTGCTGGTGCCGGTGCTGGTGCCGGTGCCGCAGCGGGTGCTGGTTAGCGGGCAGCTGGTCAGATGGTGAGCTGGTTAGCTTGTCGGCATGTTAGCTGGTTAGCTGATTAGTTGATCACTTGGTCAGTGTGGGTCAGTCGGTTAGATGCTGAGTTGGTTTGCAGCTTAGTTTTCGATCGCCCATGTACTCGTAACTCGCAGCTCGTTCGTTCGCTTTGGCTCTGCCAGCTAGCTCGCTCGTTGTTGGTGCGTTCACTAGGTAGTTCGGTCACCAGTTAGGTAGGTAGTTACTGTTGATGCTAGTTCGTGCGATTGTGGCTGTCGTCGTCGTTGTCGTGGCTGCTGTCGTTGTTGTTCTCGTTGTTGCTCCCGTTGCTGCTAGATTAGTGGTGATACTGCTCATCTTCTTGATGTAGCAACTCATTCGTTCGCTGGCTCCTTCTTTCACGCGGTAAGTAGCTGGCCAGCGAGTTATCTTGTTCGTTGGTTGGTGCGTTCTCTAGGTAATTAGGTAGAGAATAAGTGTTGATGCTAGCTGCTAGTTCGTGCGATTGCAGTCACGGTGGCTGTCGCTGTCGCTGTCGTTCTGTTGTTGTTGTTGTTGTTGTTGTTGCTGTTGTTGCTGTTGTTGCTGTTGTGCTGCTGGCGGTGGTGGTGGTGGGGGTGGCAGTGGCGGTGCCGGTGGCGGTGGCGGTGGCGGCGGTGGCGGCGGTGGCGGCGGTGGCGGCGGTGGCGGTGGCGGTGGCGGTGGCGGCGGTGGTAGTGGTGGTGGTTTCGTTTCGTTTCGTTTCGTTTCACTCGCAGCTTATCGAGTCCAAGCCGTGCGTACAGTAGTCTGTGAGGACGGCATATGTCGCCCCGGCCGTCCGTGGACAGCACATACACCTTGGTATGCACGGGAGACCAAACTAAAGAAAACTGCCACCGCCGCGAACGGCCCTGAAGCATGGCAGCTCGAGGACGTCGCAGTGGCACGTGCCTACAGTAAAGCGAGCCGAAGTAGCCGGGACAATCAACTATACATCCAGTGCTGTTGTCAGCCACCAGTGGTGACTCAGAAAGCAACGGCCCATGATTGTCCCAGCATTCCAGACTCGTGCTACACCAGCCGAACTGACGTAGTAGCGTTGGGCTTCACTGTCCAGGCTGCACAGCAGTGAGAGAAACATCTCCCGGAAGAGCAGGCTGTCGGTGCTACTAGTATGATACGATCTCCTCCACTCCAAGCAAATGTGGCATGTGCGGCGCACGGGTCAAGCTGGATGAAAGGCAGCTGTGCTACCTGCAGACGTCCCCAAACACGGACCACTGCTGTCGGCTATCCAGACCTGCCCGCCACACCATCTGCTGCACGGTATCAAGAGATTACACGCGTTGGGCTCATTGCCATGGTCCTTATGCAGGAAGTTCATGACATTCTTGCGCAGAGTCCTGAGCACCCCGCACAAGGGCCACAAGCCAGCGAGCTGTCCAAGGATAGTCACACGTGTTATTTTGTATGCCTTGCGTTCCTCCAACAGCGTATGCACCAGTCGAGAAGGTCACCTGCGGGCCGCCCGAGGCTCCATCAGACGTCGAACGACGACGACGTTTAGCCACTTTTTGGGGAGGTAGCTGCTCGCATAGCATCGCCAAATGCGTGACATCGCACCAGCACCAGCCATGACTGCAGACAAGGCAGGCCACTTGTTCCACGAGTGTCAGAGTAGGGTGGAGACGGCATTTCACCTGCCGGAAGATGTAAGGGGTATCTGGTGTACCCAAGTCGCACCAGCTACCGGGAGTTGCAAAAGATGAGACACCGGTGGGTCCTTCTGTCGACTGCCGTGCGCCCTGGATGCAAGTAAGGAGCACAGGAGGATGCAGATGCAATGTCGCCTCGCACAGACTCGCAAAGCACGAAATCCGCAGGGGCACCAGGTTCCATCTTCGGTGACTCGGCAGAGGCAGCGTCAGTGATGTCCGGTGACCCATCGTCTTTGTAAGTTGGGCGGCCGGGATGCGCCACTCCAAGTGCGGATGGCAGTTCCAGGTCCCATAGGTCCTGAGGTATGTTCGCCGGCCTTTGTGGTATCATGATTTTTTTGGGGGGCTCAGCGGGTAGCCTGCACCAACAAAAGAGCCAGCAGGAGCGGGTGCCAGGATGAAGTCACCGTCGAAAGCCTCAAAGGTGAAGCCCAAGCTGCTCGCAGCCTCATTCCAGCCCAATAGGCGAATGGCTCCAGCAGCGCAACACCCTAGCTGCACCGATACACCGATGACCAAGTTGAGCAGCTAGCTGTTGTCAGTGACAGAAGCGGGCGTCACCTAAGGCCGCGTGCTCCTAGGTACTGCGGCGCTCCCAGTCATATGGTGGCCGACGCGTGAGAGTAATTAATTACTGCTGCTGTACGCAGATGCTCCGATGCTCTATTACATGTGTGTCATGCAGTCAGAACCATGTCTTATTGAGCGCTGTGGTCGCGTGGCTCATGGTTGGGAAGACCTCCAATTTAAGATGAGCGTGTGCAACGTGCATCCCTGGACAGCCTAGACGTGCCGTGACGCAAGGGGCCCTGAGTTACATGCCATCAACTGCATAAGCACATGGATCCGATGAGTGAGATTGACGTGACCATCAGCTGAAGGGGGGACCTGCGGCTAGCACATTCCAACACGGACAACGCACTCACTGCAGCGCCGGTCATGCCCTAATGAAAACGATGACACGCAACGGGGCATCGGGACAGCCATTGAAGACATCTCTGCAACCGAGTCCCATGTTTCCTAGTCGGGGAGAGCTGTTGCGATGCAACGCGGAACACCCTAACTCACTACCTGGCCACGGAATTTGCAGCGCGCGCGGAGCCAGCTGCCCCCGAGTTGGGGGAGACGCTAGCTGGCACATGACTGAGGGCCTACGCCACCACTTATGAGGACGATCATCCAAGGGATGGCGGTATAGTGGTAGGGGCCGGATCATCTAGCAGGGCAGCTGGCATCGCCCCAATCGGGCACGTTGACAAGTGTATGCCTGTCGTGGCGACATGCAACAGCAGCCCAGAGGCAATTGCTACATCCCTACCCCCATACGCAAAAGCGCAGAGGCCTGCGACGGCTACGGCGAAGATTGAGGGCAGGGACAGGACTAAGGGCACAGTCAAGCCTACATACGACGTGGGAGGGAAATGGCTCTGAAGAGATGGCCAGCAGAATTGCTCGAATGCTTCGTTGGGTGCAAGGCAGCACGTCGCTGTCGGGCAAACCGAGGAAAAGAATAATCAAGCTTCCAGTGCGGGAGGCCGCCAAGAAATGATTAAGCTCCAACCCCAGTACGTCGCTCCTCCAATCCGAAATCAGTGCCTGCTCAGCAAGGAGCAGAAGCACCAGCCTTCGGTGCGCGTGGTTTATGCCAATGCCTTCACGCGCAAATGAGCCAGCAGATTGAGGCCGGCTTCAAGAGGCTTCAAACGCACATCCCCTACGAGCCCAAACTAAATTCGGAATAAGCATATGGGGCCATGAGTTTGAGGCCGGCTTCAACAAGGCTTCATACTTCATACACAACTCCCTATAAGACTGGGCTGTGTTTGATGAGGCCTGTGAGGTAGCA